GTCCTGGGCACCGGCGAGGCGGAGGTGGTCCTGCCCCTGCGCGGCGGCCCCTGCCGCGGCCCCTGCCAAGCCTTGGTCTACCGGACCCCGCCGAACAGCAGGAGCTCCCGCCAGGTAAGGGCTTGCTTCTGCACTGCAAATACACGGGGACACAGCTGGTGCTTGGACAGCCTTGCCCTTAGAGAGGCTCTTTGCCGAGACCTTTGTGAGTGCCCAGCGACGGAGAAGCTCTCTGCAAATCTGCGAGTGAATGAAGAGGCATGGGAAGAGGAGGGTGGCAGCCCCCCACCCCCTGCCAACGTGATAGATAGTGCACTTGGTGTCCAATGATGCTTGACTTTAGTTACTGCAAACATGCAGGCTGAGCTGTCACATAGTTGGTCGACGCAGTTCTTTATCGCGATACTTCTTGGAGGCCACTGTGACCTGATCTGGTTTGTTCTGAGCGATGCACACGCAAAAGATAAACTCTCGGGAGTGAGGTCTTTATCAGCAAAAGGAGGTTAGGGCTGGGGCGAAGGAGTCGCAGGGTGGTGGCCAAAATACAGCCATGGTGCTAAGCTGCATGAGTTGCTCTCTGCCACGGGCAAGGATGGACGGACGGACGGACAGGTGGGTGTCTGCAGAACTTGCTCTGTATAAGTCTTATACCGGGTGGCGGTGGGTGGAGTTGGCAGGTGTGCGTGTTTGTCTCCGCAAGGACGGAGGTATTTGATCAGCTTATTAAAGCACAACCCCTTGCTAGCTGCCTCCAGCTTGTACCGCTGTTTCTCTGGCTGAGGGCAAGGGAATTGTCTCTCGGAGGTACGAGGGAGTCTGCGTGTAGCATGCTGTCTAAAAGTATTTCATTTCCAATTTCAGGGGAAGCACGTGGAGTCTGGGACTGTCCAATTCCATGTTTCCACTGATTCAGAAGAACATCTTGTAACTGCTGCAGAGATCCTACATAAAGACAGGGACGAGTCGGAGAAGCCTCCTACGCCATCGCTGAGTGAGTGTTTTCCAGATCACTGACATTTAAAATGTAGAGTGTGGCACTGGTGTCTGCTCGGGAGAAAGAACACGACTTTGCTGAGTTTCAGTGAGCTAGTTTATGAATTACTGGAGTGAACCAAGTTTCCATCGAGTTGAATTTAGCTCTCACTTTTTAACTTGCAAAATTCTCCTGTGATCGTAGCGCTGAGCTAAGGATTTCCAGGGATTTCCAGCACGGCACCAGCCTGCTCCTGTTTCATGTCTCTCTGAAGGCGTTTGGGCTCCCATGCTCAACACCCAGAACAGCTGGAAGGGTGCAGCAGCTGCACTAGCAGTGCATTGCTTGCATTGCTCGCATTGCTCCCTGCCAGTGCATTGCTTGTCTCTCTGGACTCTGAATCCTTCCAGACGTTGAGGGCTGTCGGTATGTCACTTATGGGCTGTAACCTCGTTGCACTGCCGCTCGGGGAGCGTGACGGGAGCGTGACAGCAGCGTGCGTTCGATTGGCACGCACAGGCTGTGCCAGCGCCTAGCCGGGGAAAACCAGGCTGCGTATGCGTGTGTGCACGTATGCATCTATCTATAGTGCAGGGCTGCCAGGTGGTCGGGGTTTCAGTGCCTGTCTGCTGTGTGTTGGAGGCAGAAAGAAAACTGCTGTTGGCTTGGGTTTGGGCGTGGAGTTGAGTGAATGCCCCGGGCTCCTGGAAATCCTCTCTGGCTTGTTTCTGTCTGCTCCCCCCTTCGTGATCGGTGGAAAACAAGTTCCCCTTTCCTCTCCACTGTTGCTCCTGTTTCTGCTGCGATTCCCATGCAGGTCTCGGTGCGATGCTCCGGATACCTAACGGTGTTTAAGTATGTTTTACAAGCTTATCCGGCTCCTCTGGTGAGCCGGTAGCTGCCAGCCCATGGGTCAGGGTGATGCTCGGTGCAGTGTGGGCACCTGCTCCCGCACTGGATCCGGTGCTGCTGTGCCTTCCACGAGATGGCAGTGGCACCATGGCTTTGCTGCGGCAAGTCCCGGCTTTATGCCGGCGAGGAGCTGGGTCTGCTGGTGTAGGGGGGCTTTAGAGCAGAGATCTTCACGTGTGAAATGAGAGGTCTGGTGGTCTTGGTGGTGCGCTGGGTTAGGCTCTCTGCGGCATGGCTGCATTGCTGCCGGTATCTTCCTGGCACTGCTTGAAAGGTTTTCCTGGAGGCCTTTCAGCTGGCGGTGGCCGGGGCACTGAGGGGGTTGCAGTGCGGCGAAGAGAGAAGCGAGCACGCACCAACAGTGAGCTTGCGAGCCTGGCGCTGGGCTGGCACGCTCCAGCTTGGGGGAAGCGTGCTGGAGCGCAGGCGGGGTGCCGGGTGAGGGGGGATGCCCCGGCAGGGCAATGTTGGGGGGTGAGTTGCATGGCGTTTCCCTGGCTCCGGGGGGCTGGTGGCACCAGAGAGAGCTTGGGAAGCACAGCGGTGGTCCCAGAGCCGTGCCACGAGGTGAGCGGCTGCGCGCAAGAGCCAGCCTGTGCCCTGAGCTGCTGAAAAGAGCATTTTGTTAACTTTTTGTAGTGCTCTGTTGGAAAACGGTCCTCTGTCTGGTCCTTTTGGCCAGGGGAGGCTGAGCGCATCTTCTGTCGGCTCAGCTGCTGGTGGTGCTGATGGTTCTGTCCATCATCTCTTTAACAATGGCCAAAGCTACCCTAACTGAGAGAAAACAGTATTTGAGACGTAAGGGAGACAGGGCGCTTTCCTTTGTACAGTAGTCAGCATGAAATAGCTGGAATATACATGGTGGTGAAAGCAAAATAAGGTCTCAGCATCACGTGTATGCAGAGATACAACATCTGTGCTCTGAAGGACCTGCGGCTCAGCGGCACAGCGAGCTCAGCTGTGCTGGCGCGCGAGCTGAGCAGCCAAATATAAACACGATAAAACTCGTACCGTTCTGGGGCACGAATGCACGAACAGATGAAGGGAGTGACAAGGAATAACGGAGGAGCGACGAAAACCTTAAGTATCCTAAAATGTTCACGTCTCATTAAGCATCGCACTTAGGCAGCACCACGTGGCCGTAGGGAACCGCGGCACTGCCTGGGGATGGAGGAGCTGCCTTTTACGGCAGAGTTAGCCTAATTCCTGGCAAAATAACAGGTGGATCTGGAGACGTGCTACGTTTCCCCGCCCCCCGGCAACAGTCTTATTGGAAAAATAAGTCAAATAAGTGGTTGAGAGATGGTAAGGCATCTCGATAAGCTGGTCCCACTCCCAAAAAGTAAAAGGGCAGGTGGGAGGTTGGAGGGGGCTCGCTGGCGGAGGGCACAGCCGCAGCGGCAGGGCCTAGGGGCGACGGCTCTGCTAGAGCATCTCTCCCGTCCTTCTCCGCCGGCCCGCCAGCCCCGCTGCGAATGGCGGCCTCCCCGCGGGGACCGGGGGTAAGTGCCACAGACATGGGTGGCGGGCAGCGGCGTTCCCGGGGGACGGCCCACACACTGAGGATGTGCTCCCGGTCCCGTCCGTTTTTTCCTGGCTGCTGCAGCCAAGAGGCAACGAGCATCCTGCTCAAATCCACCTCCTCCGGGGCAGCAAAACGGATCCTGCCTATAACGTGCTGGGCAAAATTCCCTGAGCTCTTTTCACACCCCAGATGTATTTTTAAGGGCAGTTCTCGTTTTTGACAGCCCAGATTTGCTGGGTACTATTGTCCCTGGTACATGCTGACAGTGATGCACGGTTTCTTCCTGTGGAGCTACTGGGATTTAAGGAGAGCTATGAATATCGAGATCCCTCTTTATGCTTTTTTATATCTTGATTCAGGAATCAATGCACAGAAATAATTTTGATGAAATGAAGTGCTTCATAAGACTGCATTAAGCGGTTTGATCTTCCTGCTGCATTTTCTCATCCCTCCCCTTGCCAGGGAAAGTGCAGCAGCTAAATAGGAAGCAGAGGTGCGAACCCTCGAGCAGCCGAGCTGTGCCGCTTCTCGGTGGAGTGGCGATGCTGGAGCACGTGGCATCTGAGCTGCTTGAGCCAGGAGGGGCTGCTGGCCTGCCTCGCTGTGGGTGTTCCCGCAGGGCGGGCTGCCTCGGGGGGCTGCGTCCCCAGCACGGGGCTGCGGGCGCTCACGTT